ATCTATCTATCTATCTATCTATCTATCTATCTATCTATCTATCTATAATATATAAAGCCAGTATGGTGCTTTCCTCCAAAAGCTGAACATAGAAATTCCACATACCCAGCTATTCCACTACTTGGAATATACTCTGAGAAAACAGGAACTGAAGCACAAATGGAAATTTGTACACCAATGTTCATAGCAGCGTAATTCACCATCACAAGACATGGAAATAGCCCAAATGTCCAACCACAAATGAGTGGATTGAGAAATTATGGTACATTCACACAGTGGAATACTATGCAACAGGTAGGATCAATGATTTTGTAAATTATTACATAAATTGGAGAACATTATACTGAGTGAACTAACTTAGTCCCACAAGGATAAATATTGTATCAAACCATTATTGTAGAAAGAGTATAAGTAACCAAGAGGGATGAGAGAGGCTAGAAGCAGAGGGATGAGGATATACTGGAGGAGGGAGGGATTAATCATGGGGTTGCACAATTTGATAGGTGTAAAGTGAGGGAAATTGAAAGAATTTGTTCTTGAAAACATGTATTCAATTTTTGTAAATAACCTAGTGGGCCAATTTTTAAAGTAAGAAAAAAAAGTTGATTCTTCCCTCAGAAGAAAAAATAAAAACAAAACAACTTTTGGCTTATTACTAGAGCAAAGAAGAGACTGAACACTTAATCTTGGGCCATCAAGTTACCATGCAATCTGAACAGCTCAACATAAACCGAATGTTGTCTTACCTATTAAGACGTGAATTCACAGCATTCCATCATTAAATGGAAATGGTAAATAAAAGATTAGGCCCAAGCAGGACCTAGAAACACGTAGGTTTACATGAAGAAATGCTTATCTGTCCTGAATCTCCAATCCTGTCAAACTGCCTTTATTCTGTTAGTCTGCACTTATGGCCTCATAAGGAGTTATTTACAATCAATGGATTGGAAAATACAAAATCTGTGCCTCTTACACAGATATTTCTAGACAGTAGGTGGCACAGTGGCAACAGTGTAACAGCTTTCTGGGACTTACCTGAAGATTTTTATTGTTGTTATGTGTCATTTAGTTAACCCTGATTCATAGCAACCCTGTGCACAATAGTTCTGAACCTTCTTCTATCCTGGACCAATCTCAATATCTCTGACAAACCTACCTTCATACTCCAGTTATTCTGTCGCTACATCTCATCCAGGATCTTCCTCTCCTGTACGGTCCCTCCATCCTTCCACACATGATGACCTTCTCAAGGGATCAGTCCTTCTCAGAAATATGCTCGAAGTATGTGAAATGGAGCCTCGAGATTTTTGCCTCCAAGGAAAAGTGTGGCTTCACCCACTTCAGGACAGATCTTCTAGTTCTCTTGGCAGGCCATGGTAAGTTCATACACTTCTCCAGCGCCATAACTAAAAGGTATCAATTTTTCTTCTGTCCTCTTAGGTCGTTGCTCAACTCTGATGTCATACAAATAAATTGCTAAGATTGCTCTGGAGAGGTGTCTGACAGCAGATTTTCCTAATGAAATTCATTTCTTAATTTTCTGACTGCTGGTACCAAGAGTATTGATTGTGGAACCAAGCAAGCAGAATTGTTAGCAATCTCTATTTCATTATCTATCATTATGCTGCCAAATGGGTCAGTGGTGAGAATCTTCATTTTCTTGATATTGAACTTCAATCTATATTACAGTCTACAGTCCTTGACCCTCTGCAGCAAATACTTCAGACTCGACTCAGTTTTAGCAAGCAAGATTGTGTCATATACATAACACAGGCTGCTGAGTTTTTCTACAGTCCTGATATCACCTTCCTCTTTACAAAATTCAAGTAGTATACTTCATTGTTAACTTCACTTAGAAAGAAAAATTACTTTTTTAGGCTTTGTATGGTTGATTCATAGGTTATAGTCGATCCTTTGGCTTGATAATAAGTATTTGGAACGAACTTGAGTGGGACATTGGTGATAAGAAAATGAGGAAAAGGAGAATGTGGAAAGACCTTTGAGAATCAACCAACACATGAAGAAATTGGTGTTTCATATGAATGTTCACCAAAAGAGACCTCAGAGGATTTCATAGCTGTTTTCATTTAATATATGGAATGATAGACTAAGTTCCAGAAAATACATAACTCTGATTTGTTCTGCATTAGAATCTCATCATCTAACATAATACAAGATAAACTTTGGCTTGTATTTAAGAAATGCATAAAATATTAAGATGAGTCAATGAATAAATGAATAAGTTTCATATTCTTATAGTCAGCATCAAAACTTGACAACACTGACTCTGATTTCACCTCAGCCTCCACTTTAGCTCTTTTATTAAAGTTGTGTTTGATTTCAAGTTTATATTCTTGCCAATAACATTATTTTCTTTACTCTGCCAAGTATCATCTGAAATATAAAATCTGCTCATTGTCAGAAAAAAAATTCAATGGATATTACCTTTGATATTTGTTTTTATATCTCTCTGTCTAATATTTACGTTAAAATTAGCATCGGACCTCCTAAACTATTCAAAATCACATTGAAAATGTGCCATGTACCACATAAATTGTCCTAACCAGTAAAACAGAAAAATTTGAATAAGTTAAAGTTACTATTTGTTGTTGTTGTGTACCATAGAGTCAGAACTGATACATAGCTGATATGTTCACAGGTTTTCAGAGGCAGTTAATCAAATGGGAGGAGATTGCCCATCTTTCTCCCTTTAAGTAACTTTTGGACTGAACTTTGTGCCTTCAGGATTGCAACACAGCTTTTTACCACTAGGCTACCAGAAAAAAAAAAAGTACAATGTATTGTTATTGAGATACGTTTTTCTATACACTATCTCCACCCACGTGATAACGCCCTCTGAAAACCCACCAGAGAATCTACTATGGGTCGATTCCAATTCCATGTCACACAACAACACAAATCAATAGTAATTTTACAACCTAATTCAAGAGCTTTCTAGGTATCAGTCTATTTGCATATAAAAAGACCACTTTTTATGAATAACTGATTAGGCATAGCAGAGTGCTGAGAAAAAAAAATAAGTAAACTTTTGGAATTTAAAATATTGTCTTCTTATCAAAATTGAGTGAAAAATAACTCATCATTCATCACAGTTGTATTTATTTCTCAGAGGTTCACTTAAGTAAGAACTGTAATATTATATTTACTTTTTATCAGTATAATTATAGTTACTAGTCATTCAAAGAAATTATAATTCCACCAAAGTTTAAATTTATACTTTTATCAGAAGCATTACTTTATTAGTCAGACAGTTTTTCATTTTAACACAGTTCCAAAATATGATCTGAACAAATAGTAGGTTATAATAACAACTTAAAATAATTTGTGCCTAATGAAGTGTTTGAAAAGATATTCTTCTATGTTTAAATTTGTTACTTGAGGAAAAAATTGTAGTTTTCTATAGTATCAATAGATGGCACTACTCTTTATTATATCTTCAGCTTTTTTTAGGTAAAATATAACAAAGTATGTGTTGAAATATGTCAGAGGATAAGTACCTTAATACACTTTCCTCCCTTAAAAAATTAATTCTTTTCATTTCCCTGGCATTATAGTGTACCGCATTTAAATATTCACTTTCAAAAACATTTGTAAACCTTTACTAATGATCTTGAAAATTATGTTTAATAATTTGTACTTTTATAATGTATAAGCATTTCCCACATGCTTTGAAAAAAATATTATTTTTTTAAATAACTTCATGTATTGACGTTAGGATTGGTGGAAGATCTATCAACAATCTGCATTATGCAGATGACACAACCTTTCTCGCTAAAACTGAGGAGGACCTCATGCACTTACTGCGGAGGGTCAAGGACTGCAGCCTTCAGTATGGACTGAGGCTCAATGTCAAGAAGACAAAGATTCTCACCACTGGACCAATTGGTAGCATCAGGATGAATGGCGAAGAGATTAAGATTGTTCACAGCTTCAGTTTAATCGGATCCATGGTCAACACCCTTGGCACCAGCAGCCAGGAAATAAAAAAACGTATTGCAGTGGGAAAGTCTGCGGTTAGAACCTCTCTAAAGTACTCAAGAGCAACAGTGTCCCTCTGGAGACTAAGGTGCACCTGATACAGGCCATGGTCTTTGCAATCACTTGTTAAGCATCAGAGAGTTGGACAATGACTAGGGAGGATAGAAGGAGAATTGATGCCTTTGACTGTGATGCTGGAGAAGAGTATTGAATGTTTCATGGACTGCCAAGAAAACAAACAGATCCATCCTTGAGAGGGTTAAACCAGGCTACTCCTTGGAGGCAAGGATTCTGGGGCTTCATCTGACATACTTTGGACATGTTGTAAAGAGAGAAAGGTCCTTGGAGAGGGACATCATGCTAGGTAGAGTAGAGGGACAGCGCAGGAGGGGAAGACCCTCTATGAGGTGGATTGATTTAGTGACTGGGGTAATCGGGATGGGTGTGTCAGTGGTAATGCAATTGACACAGGATAGAGCAGGGTTTAGGGCTGTTGTACATAGGGTCACTATGAGTCGCAAATGACTCGAGGGCACATAACAACAACAACAATTTTAAGTCAGTAGCATATAAGGAAAAGATTTTGCATTTGTGGTGTTTATTGTAATTTTGTGGTTGTTGGGGATGCATGTGCTGGATATTTTGTTTCTATTATTAAAAAAATCAGTAGTTTTAAACCAAAAGTGAAATGAGAGGACATTCTGACAATTTATTAGCATATATGACTTAT